AGGACTTGATCTGGACTGGGCTGGGGTGTTTCCTCAATATTCAATTGCTCTTGTAGCTAAAGCTCTTTCTTATCCACGAGCGTGTCTATGAATTTGTTTCTCTAGTCCACTGGGGCTAACGCAGGCTCGCACCACCACAGGGGACAGCTCTGGGAGTCACGTAAGGGAGGGGACCACGGGCACCCAAATCCTGAAGCCACATGGGCACAGAGAAGGGTCCGATGGTTGTGGAGCAGGATGTTCGGGTGCCCCCTGGGATGCAGTTCCTGGGCCTGTTCCCCCATCTTTTTCTGCCACCGAGCAACAGAGGACCCACAGCACATAGCAGATTGCCCCCCCCCCATAAAAAACAACCCCCATGAAGTATTTCCACGGACGGTAAGACCATGCCTGTTGGCCACACAGCTCACCATCACTCCGACGATGCCAATTCGGGGTGTCTAGGGAATGCTGCCTCTCGGGCCACTTCGGGAAGAGTGGATGCCAAGCTCGGAGCACGTCCGTAGGAGGCGATGTGTTCTAGCTGGCCTGCACGCCACTCCTGTGTGGGGATCCTTCCTGGGGTCGGGTGCAGGTGCACGACGGCTGCCCCAGAGGCCGGCTGACTGAACCTGCCTCGTGGCCCCTGCGCCGCATCTCCTGGGGACGGACAGGGGAGCAGGGGAGCCGCTGGCCTGCGGGAGCACGGAGGGACAGGTCGGGGTTGGAACGCTTGGACGACACCAGGGCGGCCGGGCACAAGGCAGAACAGGATCCGCAGCGCACACACGTGTTTGAGTTCCCATCCCATGCGCTCAGGCCGCCTGCCGTGGTTGCACCATAGCTGCTAACTGCAAGGTCAGCAGTTCAACACCGCCAGCTGCTGCGGGAGAAAGACCTGTCTCTCCACGGCTGTAGAGTCCCAGTCTTGGGAACCCACAGGGGCAGCTGGACCCTGCCCTGCAGGCCCCAGGAGCTGGCGAGGACCCAACAGAAAGGTCCTGCTTCACCCCTTTTTACTGAGTTTCACAAAACCGTCCATCATGTCGTTGTACGTGAGGGGCATTTTTCCGGTTTGTTTCGACAGGATCATCCACGTTGGGCCCTTCATTTCGTGCCCCTTGTTCTTCGATCACAGCACCATCACCCCCTCCGAGCCCTTATAGTTTAAACAGTGCACGAGCAAAGCCAGGATCTAGGAGCCACACAGACTAGGGCACCTTGCCTGTTTGACTACACAATGTTCTCTGTTCTTTG